AAGCCACTGATCCACTTTCCAGAGGGGCAGACTAAGCTCTCGACCTGAGTGAGATACCCTGTGGGCGGGGTCAGAAGCTGAGAAGATTCCTTTCCAAACACCAGGGCGGCGTGGGTGGGGCCAGGGTGGGCGCAGAGGACCTCGGTGGGTGGGTGAAGGCAGGTGTCAAAGGTCGTCGTTCCTCCTCTAGATGCACATCTCCAACTCCTGACCAGGAGAACCGGCAAGCCAAGCGGAGTCAGGGTGGGGCCAATAGACTCTCACCCTGGTCCCCCACCCGCTCTGCCCTAGGGTCCCCTAACCCCAGCCGCCTGGCCGCCTGGCACTCACCCTGCAGCTCCCACCACCCGGACCTAGGTCCTCGGTCGCCACTAGCCGGAGGCTTCCGACTGACCTCCGGGCCCAATCTGACCGGGATGTGGACGCAGGGGAAAATTTAAGCCAATGAGAGAGCCCGTTTCAGCTTCTCCTTCTATACCTCAGCCACTCAGCGCGGCCCTTTCAAGATTATGCAAATAGTTTAGCTGTGCCTCTCCCAATCAGTCGAGGCGGATCCACCGGCCGGCTCCCCGACCATGTAGGGGCCGGAGGCGGGAGGAAGCGCCACCCGGTGGACGTAGGGAAAAGACGCGGAGTCCTCGCGCCCCCTGGTGGAAGCCCGCGTCCATCAGCCGAACCCCGGTCCTGCAGAGCCCAGCGACCCAGCTCAGGTCCTCAGATCCTTCTAGGCGCTGGAGGTTAAAAAAGGAAGTCATGCCCCGGCAGAAGAGGGGGTTCTGGGGGAGGGGCATTGGAGCTGAGTTTTGGAACCTGTCAGTAGTAGGCCAAGAGAAAAATGAGGGAGATCATTCCTGGAGGAAGGAATTGCAAGATCAAAATGCAGAAAGAATGTCCCGACAGGGGTGAGGACCCCAACCAGTACGTCGAATCTCTCGGTCGAGGATATCTGAGAACGGACTCGAGCAAGTAGGTTGGCAAATCTAGGTCTTGAGGAACTAAGCGGTCTCTTGGAGATGCCGCGCTCTTGACCGCCGCCTAGTGGCGCTGTGCGTCCAGCTCTCCGCACCCACCCTAGGGCAGTAGCTGCAGACAACCCTAACATGGTTAGTCTCCTGCCATCCCACCCTTGGAGCACAGATATTCTGACGGTTTCATAAATAGTAAGAGAACGCATAAGGCTATGGCCAGGGCCCACACTCCACGCTCACTCACAGGTTGATGTCACGGACACCTACACGGGGTGCGGCGGCCTTCCTGGGGCGCCAACCCATCCCAGCCTCGAACACAGAACCCGAGTTCAGCCGGGGATTCCAGAAAGTGCACCCCATCTTTCCCAGCTTTGAGACTTGTGCCGCTGAGGGGCCAGCAACTGGCCTGGCGCAGAGAGGGTTAATCCTATGACGTCACAGCCAGAGTCTTCCTACCCACCACCCACCACTTCCCGCTCCCCCCACCTCCAGTTCGGGTTGCCCTCCCCCGCCTGGCTCCGTTCTCGGGGTTCTCTCGGCTTTCCGGGCGGGCCCGAGGACCCCGGGCCCAGGACGAGCCGGGGGCCCCGCAGAATCGGCTCCCTTCTGAGGCCTCCGGGCGGGACGGAGCAGGAGAAGGTGGAGAGGGGTCCCGGGTCCACCTCGAGTCGGGGTCCCGAGAACGCAGGGGGAGTCTGCCGCAGGACAATCCTCGGCCCTCCTCTGGCCCCCAGCCCCCGATTTGGGGCGGAGGTCACCGGTGGGGCCGGGATCCGAGGATCGCTGCGTGGACGAGGAGGGGGACTCATGAGCGGGGGGCGGCCGCAGAGGCGACCCCTTCCCTTCCCACACCTCGCCCAGGGCGCACCTCCCGGCCTGGGGTCAGCGCCCGGCCCCCAGCCACCGCCTCGCACCTCCCACCGCGCCGTCCTCGGCCCCGCCCCCTGCCTCCGCGTCCCTCCTTCTCCCGACCTCGTCCCTCCCTCCGTCCCAGCTCCCGACACCTCCCCTCCCGACTCCCTCCCGGCGCCGCTAAGTTTCTGGCTCGGAACCGCGCGCAGAGCCGGGGCCGGGCCGGAGCGGTGACCCCGCTGCCCCGTCCCCGCGCGCAGACCCCGGGCCCGGCCCCGGCCCCGGCTCCGGCCCCGGCCCCGGCCCCGCCGAGCCATGCTGTGCGGCCGCTGGAGGAGCCGCCGCCGCCGGCCCGAGGAGCCCCCGGGGCCCGCCCAGGTCGCGACGCCCGTCGCGCTCGCGCCCCCGGACGGCGGCAGCAGGAGGCCCGGGCTGCGGGCGCTGAAGAAGATGGGTCAGTGACGGGCGGGGGCGGGGCGGGGTGGGCGCCGTCGAGGGCTCCCCGGGCCGCCGGGGGGTGTGCGGAGGCTGGCGAGGCTCGGAGTGCAGCGCCGTACGCGCTGCGGGTCACACCTGAGGTCCCCCGACGTTCCCGGGCCGACCGAGGCCCGTGGGTGGCCTTTGCTGCCCACCAGGAGGCGCCGACGGGGCGCGGGGGCGCGGATTGGGGTCCCCGAGGACCAGGCGAATAGAGTGGCAGAGACAGGCTCGGGGCGTCCCTCACCCGCCTCCCCAACCCCGCGTGCCTTCCAGGCTCTGCGGGCGCCCCCGGGCATCCTGCGTTCTGGGCCGCCCTTAGGGGGCAGGGGAGCGGTGGAAGAGGCGGGCCTCCAGCCCTGAAGCCTCCACAAGGGTTGCAGCAGCCACACAGCACTGGTAGGGCAGGTCGAATTGGTGAGAATAGTGTCCTTGGAGTCAAAAAGGCAGAGTTCCCGTCTCAGGTGTGGGGGAAGCGACCAGGGAAGGAATGCAACCGTGGCTTCTTAAGGATCTCCCAGAGACCCACCTCACTGGATAGTTAACATAGGTGGCATCACTCTGTCTTCGTCACTCTCCTGAGAGGTACCTGGTATCATTCCCATTTCACAGATGGAGAAACTGACCCAGAGAAGTTGAAGATTTTGTCAATGCCCACACTGCCCACACAGCTAGTCAAGGGCAAAGGCTGGCATGGAGGCTGTGCCCAGCCACACTGCCGCTGGTACCCTTTCAGAGCCTGGGCAAAGTGTGACCGACTGGCTGGTTGAGTGGCTTGAATGAGGGGGAGGGGCTGGAGAGTGTGTGCGAGTATTTTATAAAATGTACCGTACCATGAAACCAAAGTGGGGTATTGGAACTGCTGCTGGTAAATAGTTAATGATGGAAAGGTGGGGTGTGGGGCTGGGGGGACAGGGCAGGGCTGTCCAGGAAACCAGTGTGAATCTTGGGGCAGAATTCAGGGGTGCCGATCGCCAGTCTTGTTGATCCCCCCACCCCCGTCCCCCTTCTTTCTTCTTTCTCCTGTCACTCATTTGATCTAAATTGATTGAGCTCTATGTTCTGAGCGCTGAGCCTTGCACTCTCCTTAAGAAGCCGTAAGACACATGATCTCTGCCCTACCCTCCAATCATTCATGCATTCAGCGGACATTTATTGCCTGCCTCTCTCTAGTAGGCTCTGTCCTGGGATTCAGCAAGGTTCTGGCCCTTCAGAGAGTGGAGGCTTCAGCAGGGAGATCAGGCAATGAAGCAAAGAAACAATACTAGGGGGATCCCTGGGTGGCGCAGTGGTTTGGCGCCTGCCTTTGGCCCAGGGCGCGATCCTGGAGACCCGGGATCGAATCCCACGTCGGGCTCCCGGTGCATGGAGCCTGCTTCTCCCTCTGCCTGTGTCTCTGCCTCTCTCTCTCTCTGTGACTATCATAAAAAAAAAAAAAAAAAGAAAAAAAGAAAAAGAAACAATACTAGGAAGGGAGGGGGCAAGTCAGTTGCTGGGGAGCCAGCGAGGGTCCTGGCTGCACCCCAGAGCCAGCTGGAGACTGGAAAGAGGCAAGTGGGCGCCAAATTCTCAAGGTCCCTCCTTATAGAGTTACAGACTTGCTCTGGAGGGCAGCAGGAGTCCCAGAGGGTCTCTGGCAAGAGGACGGAGGCAGGGCTCGTACAGACTAGGGGCACATTGGATGAAGGCAAGGGTGAATCAGGGAGAACCATAAGAGGGAGACCGAGGACTGAGATGGTCAAGCTATGGTGGTGCTCAGACTCGGGCCAGTGCAGCTGAGTTGAATTCTAGAACTCCCTAGGAGGCGGCCTGGGCTAGAGTCCGTAGTTGGTGAGATCTGAAAGGTGTCTCTGGTGGATGGCAGTGTCATTCTCTGGGCTGAGCAGTGCTGGTGCCTTGGGAAGAGGAGGATGGCCATGCGGAGTTGAGGTGCCATTGTCTTCCCTGGGCTGATGTGGGGCCAGAGAAGCAGTCCCTGGAGTCAGCCACTGCAGGGGTGGCGGATGCTGTGGGAGGGCTGGGATGATGCCCCTGCATACCTGCTTACTTCTTCATTCCAAACACATCTGCTTGGCCCTATCAGTGTGCCATTGTGCTGTGCCAAGGGCTGGGGCTACGGAGATGAATAACACAGCACTTTGCCCTCAGGGAGCACACAGTTTACTAGCAGGAGACACTTGTAGACCAATAATTACAACTGAGCCCAGGGCTCAACTGCCCTGAATGATTAAGCTCCATGGGAGCTCAAGGCACCCCATCATAGTGACACTGTCACGACCTATGTGGGTGTCAGAATGTCACCTGGGCTGTCCTCCCCACTGCTGCGCTGTCCTGCTGAATGACTGCCAAGAAAGGAATGTCCAGTTTCTGGGGAATGCCCCTTCCCCAGGCCTCCCTGACTCCAGCAACGGGGCAGAGACCAAACCCAGGTGTCCTGGGGCCCACCACCCAGGTAGCTTCCCCGACCACAGCAGCCAGAGCTCCTGGCCAGATGCGCCCCAACCCCCCCCCCCCATGGCCATGGCCACACCCCTTAGGCTAACAGAACAGATCTTATTTCTGATCTGGTCAAGAGGCTTGGGCAAGGAGTGGCTTAGAGATCGAAGGCTCAGAGGGACTCACAGAAAAGAAAGGGCTTTTCCGGGCCATCCTGGGTGGGTGAGTGGGTGGGTGGTGGAGGAACTGGGACAATGAGGAGGAACTGGGACCACGAGGGAGGGAGGAACACCACTCCCGCAGAGTGCAAGCAAGTCATTTGCGGAGCCTGGGGCTCTTCTCCTGTCCCTTCCCCCAGGGTGGCGTGTCCCCAGGAAGCCAGGGATCAGCTGGAGAGAGCTAGAGCTCCATGAGCACCTGCCGGGCCAGACATAGCGGCTGAGCTTGCTGCAGCGGGAACCCACCTAATCCTGGGCTCCTTGGAGGAGAAGGTTTGCTGCGGTCCTCACAGCGCAGATCCCCTAGCCAGGATGAAGCCACCAGCCCCGGGGCCCACAGGGCTAAGAGACAGCCGCCAAAGCCTAGGTTTCAATGATGGCTCTTTTATGCCAGAACTAATGAATACTAATTATCACCTTTATAACACGCTACAACGAGTGAGCGAGGGCTTTTCACGCATTGGCTCATTTAATGCTCACGATTGTATGAGGTATGTGGTACCATTAGCCTCATTTTACAAATGAGAAACTGAGATTCAGAGAGGTTCAACCCTGGGAAGGAGCCGAGAGAAGGTCTGAAGCCAGGCGTCTGGCCCAGGGTCCGAGCTCATATCACAACGAGTGAGTGGGTGATGTGTGCCTGGCCATGGCCGGCTCCACCTCTCCCCCACAGAGGCCCTGCCAGCCTCTAGGGGTGTCCTCACCGAATTATTCACTTGCCGAATAAAAATACAGGATGCCCCGTTAAACGTGAGTTTCACATAAACAACAAATCACTTGGGACAGACTTAGACTGAAAGATAGTCTAAGACTATCTGAAATTTGAATTGAAGTGGGCATCCTGAATTTTATCTGACAAGCCTGTCTCCCCAGAGCCCCTGGCGTTGCCTGTGCCCCTGATGCTCCGCCCTGCCCCTAATCCTCCCAGTGAGCAGAGCCCTGAGTGGGCACAATCCTGTTCCCTTTCCTCCCGGCCCGCACGCAGCACCAAGTGCCCCGGGGGCAAGAGGGCTCTCCCTATGGCCTGCCCAGGATGTCTCCTGCAGGGTGAGTGGGGCTGCCGTGCGTGGAGTTGGCAGGTGGGGGTCCTGGCAGGTGCCTGGCCTGACGGCAGGGAGACCTGGACAGCCGTTCTAGCTAGGCCTTGTGGTTAGGCTGTCATGCCTTGTGGCTTCCCTGGCCTCTCCTCCTTCTTTAGCTCTGGGGAGGCCCTCTCCTGCGACCTCTGCCCCCAAATAGGCTTCATACCTGTTCTGGCCCTGCCGGAAAGGGTGCTGCCACCTTTGTCACACTGTGTCTGGCCAGGGACAGGAGAAGCACTGCTTGCCTTTCCTGACTTTGTTGACTCTCCGAGGAATGTTATGGAGTCTGGCGCTGAGCTCCACTGGGCCCTCGCCCCGGGTGTGGCGGCCTGCCCAGGCAAGGGGGACATGCTGGGTACCCGAAGAGCTGGCGCTGCCTGCTGGCCAGAGGATTAGGGTGGGAGGGCGTTTGGGACCCCTTACCATTGTGTGCTCCCTCCCAGAACCATCAGGAAAAGCTTCTCTCCCTCCCCTCCCCCACTTGGCATGAAGCTGTCAGCTGTTGCTGTTCCCTGCATGTCTCACATTCCTGCTGGAGCCCCGTGTGCCCTTCCTGAGCGTGCACTGGTGCAAGCACACATCCACACATGTGCGCACACACACATACACCAGCACACACACCCTATATGCACACTCAGCCTGACACACACCCTTGCTCGAGACTTCCCACTTTCATGCCCTGCTATGAAAGTAATATGCCTACATATTACCCCTCTTGTCTACACTCCTTGTAACCACATAGCCCACCCACCCTCACCTCCCATCACTGGCCAGCTCTGGCTTCTGCCCACCCCCTACGTGGCCCCTGTGTCCTTCCTTGGTTTGGGTGACCCACACTATTGTCAACACATACAACCTACCCTCTCATAATTCCAGTGGCCCATCTATGGAAAGGGGTGGAGATGGGGGGTTGAGGATCAGAGATGGATCAGGCTTCTTTCCCATGACCCCTTCCAGCTCTGTCACTGAACAGTCTCCTGCCCTTGGCCTTGGCCGCCAATACGGAGCTGCTCACGCCTCAGACCACACACAGACCAAACCGCCCAGGCTGAAAGGTGATAGTTGGGAAACTGGGAGGTGTCCATTCCTCACCTCCCCCTGGCCAGTCTCTGGAGGCTGAGATAAGCATTTGGCCTAGAGGAGGTGTCTGAGTCCCAGCTGACAGCACTGATCTGGGCTGGACAAGGGCCCAGCTGGAGACCATGGCTGAGGAGGACGTATGGGAACATGCCTGGGTCCTTCTTCCCTCCCGGGCCACCGCCTCCCTTCCCTTTATTGTAATTTAGTGAGTGCCCACTGTGGGCCAGGCCCTAAATGGAGTGCACCTTGGCATTAGCTCATTGGAGCCACACACAGCCCTTTGGGGGCTTAGGCACCCTCCAACTCTCAGTGCATTCTAGATCCACCACCACCTACAGACCCAGGACCCTGGATAAGTTAGCTGCTCTGTGCCTCTTGTATCACTTTATTGAGATATTAATTCACACATCATACGGTTCACTCATTTAAAGCATACAGTGGTTTCTGGCATATTATGTTACTTTTTAATTAGCAGTAAAAATATATATCATAAAAGTAGCCATTTTCACCATTTCGAAGTGGCTAATTCAGTGGCATTAATTATATTCACACTGTTACACATTCACAATGTTGTGCTAGTCCCCGAACTTTTCCATTACCCTAAACAAACAACAAAAACCCCTCTGCCATTAACCAGTCATTTTCCCCTTCCTCCCCGCCCTGGAGCCCTGGTAACCTCTAATTACACTCTGCCTCTGAATTTTTTTTTTTATTGAGATATATGTGACATATAATGAGTCTTTATGAATTTGACTATTCTAGACATCGTGTGTAAATGGAATCTTACAATATCTGTCCTTTTATGACTGGCTTATTTCACAGTGCTGCCAGGGTTCATTCCCTTTGCAGCTGAATAATATTCCACTGTATGTCTATACCACCTTTTACTTCTCCATTCATCTGTTGCTGGACATTTGGGTTGTTTCTATCTTTTGCCTATTGTTCATCCTCATTTTTACTGCTGTGGTTTTTTTTTTTAAGATTTTATTTATTTATTCATGAGAGAGACACACACACACAGAGGCAGAGACACAGGCAGAGGGAGAAGCAGGCTCCATGCAAGGAGCCCGATGTGGGACTCGATCCCGGGTCTCCAGGATCAGGCCCTGTGCCAAAGGCAGCGCTAAACCGCTGAGCCACCCGGGCTGCCCTACTGCTGTGGCTTTATAACTGTTTCCTCTCTGGTCAGTCAAGGTGGTCATGATACTGGCCCAGCCCAATTCCAGGTTCCAGGCAGAGATGTTTATTTTTCAATTTTTTAAAAAAATATTTTATTTATTTATTCATGAGAGATGGAGAGAGAGAGAGAGAGGCAGAGACACAGGCAGAGGGAGAAGCAGGCTCCATGCAGGGAGCCCGACACAGGACTCAATCCTCGGTCTCCAGGATCAGGCCCTGGACCGAAGGCAGCGCTAAACCACTGAGCCACCTGGGCTGCCTAGGCAGAGATGTTTAGATAGATACCCATGGAACCCACAAGAGGCAGCTTGTACACCTGCTCCAAGCAGGGAGGAATGAGGCTGAGGAAGCATCTGTGGGTTTGGGCCCTGACAGGACCTATAAATGTTTACTGGGTGCCAGGGCAGAGAGCCAGGGGCCTTCCAGCGCGTCCTCCTGACCTCACCCCTTTACCTCTGTGGGCCCCGCCCTTCCTGTCTGGAATCCTAATCCCTTCGATCCCCGAGGGCTCAGAAGCTGAAGCAATGGGGAAATAGTGTTACTTGCCCAGGGACTCAGCACCTGGCTCAGCCTGGCATTGAACTCTCATTCTGTTTGGCTTCTCCACTGTGAGTGTGGTTGGGAGGCAGTGTGGTCCAAAGAGCAGTGCCATCCTGAGGCCAGTGCTGGTTGGGCAGGCAGCCTGGACTGTCAGCCTTTCCCTCACCAGGCTCCTGGGGAGCGTGTATGTGTGTGTGTGTGTGTGTGTGTGTGTGAAGGGGGGGCCCTCAACATGGGAACCTGTCCCAGCAGAGGGCCCATCAGAAGTTTAGTCTCCCTGTGTCCATGTCCTGTTTGTAGAAGACTCTGGACAAAGCAGGCCCTCGGTGACTCACCTCCACTTCCGGCCTTAGTCATTCACCAGCTCCCCCCCTCCCAACCCTCCCCAACCACGGGCTTGGCATTGGAGGGCTGGCGGGGTCAGGGGAGGTGGCCCCAGCTGCAGAACATGGTTGTCACCGGAATGAGGAGTTCCTTTCCTATGGCTGAAGAGGTGGAGGAGGGGTGGGCTCAGTTGTGATGGCACTACAGGTCCCCCCAATGTCCTACCCGCCCCCCAGTTCACTGCTTCTCAGGCTGAGGGGATTCAGAAGTTGCCCACACATGGGCGTGTGAGTGCAGAGGGCTAAGGGTCTGCTGAGTTTCTTGGCCTGGTGCTTGCGGCGTTCTAGCCTCTTGTTTGGAGAGAGGAGGATTCCACCTCCACTTCCCAGCTAGGGAGCACTGATTGGCACTGACCCAAGAGGCCAGTCTGAATCGTGAGAGACCCTTTGGAGCCATTAGGGCCACAGGCAAGCCCCAACGAGGACCAGGACCGTAGGCTCCTCCAGGTGGCAGGTTTCTCCCCTGGTCCTAAAACCCTGATTCTCCATCACAATCACCCTCAGAGTCACAGGGTAGGTTTTTAAACATAGAAACCCAAGTCCCAACCCACACCTGCTGGACAAGAATCTCTGGGCTGTGGGTTTTGCAACCTCCTCCAGGTAATTCCGATCACAGCCAGGGTTTAGAAATCCTGGCCCGTGAGGAAAGGACAGATCGGGAAGGGCTGGCTGGCGGTAGAATGAGCTTAGTTCCCCACTTGTCGGTACATCTGCCGACATGGCTCGTCCTCCCGTTTCAGAAAACACTGGCTGTGAGCCTGGGTCTGGGATGAGCCCTGAACTATGGATATAAGACTCTGTCCCTGTCCTTGGACTTATTAAAGTTCACCGAAATTACAATTTAGGTGGGGTGTTTGTTTTAAAATAAAAAGTGCTGTTGGTGACCAGGGAGGGAGAATGCCCATCTGAGGACAAATCAAGGAAGGCTTCCTGGAGGAGATGGTGTCTGAGCTGATCCTTGAAGGAGTTCTGTGTGAGGAAGAGAAACAGGAAGGATCCTACAAAGGCTCCCAGAGAGAGTGAGAAAAGGCGGCCCAGGGATTTAGACTTGGTTCCATAGGTGAGAGTTTACAACAAACAGGGGCCTTGGGGGCACAAAGCCTAAAGCCAAACCCAGTACTGGGGGCTTGTTAAAATAAAGGGAGGAAGATACACCCATTGTCCTGTTTCATTTGGCCCACACAGTGGTGTTTTAGGGGCTTTTTGTTTCAATTTGATTTAGTTGCCAACATTGAAAAATCCGGAGGCTTCACATACAAATCCAGCTTCCTGTTCTCTAGAGACTCTGGGCTGCCCTCATCCACTCCTGGCTGCCCTGCTCCTTCCAAAGGGCATGGACCCTCCAGTTTCAGTTTGCCAGTTTTCCACTCTTCCTGTTGTCCCCTGGCTCAGAAACCTTTGGTATTGACCTCTTACAAGACAGATGAGAGCAGGATGTGGCCCCCTCAGGATGGGTGGCATCTTGACTGAAGTTTGGATTTTGCTGCAGGGACAACTGTGGTGTCTGCACTGTGTGCACAGAGAACATGAGGCTCAGAGCAGTCACGGGTTACTGCCACCAAGGCTGTGTAACTCAGAAGTGACAGTGTTGGGATTTGCCTCCCTGGGCCCCTGAATTTATTAATTTTTTTAAAAAAGGTTTTATTTATTTATTCATGAGAGACACAGAGAGGGAGAGTCAGAGACACAGGCAGAGGGAGAAGCAGGCTCCATGCAGGGAGCCCGACACAGGACTTGAACCTGGGTCCCCAGGATCACGCCCTGGGCCAAAGGCTGTGCTAAACGGCTGAGCCACCCAGGCTGCCCCAAGGGCCCCTGAATTTAAATTCTGCACTCCCCACCTGCACCCTGACCATGACAGCAAGGAGGAGGGACAGAGGAGCAGAGGGATTCAGTGTGGTGGCCGTGGGCAGGGGTGCTGGGACCTGACCTCCAGGGTTTGAAGTCCCCTTCCACCACTTGGTAGCCGTGGCATTCTGGCAAGTTAGTTCAGCTTCTCTGTACTTGTCCTCTCCTGTGTTAATTCATGAGTAGGGGCTGGCATGTGGTAGAGGTTTTGTAAGCATTTCTTCTTCTTAAGGAAGGTGGGCAGCTGGAAGCACATGTGGGGTTACGTGGGATTGTGACAGTGGCTGGGCAAGGGTGAGTGCCAAGTGTCACAGGAGACCATGCTTTCAGCTGGACACAGAGAGGACACCTGGATGTCAGCCACAGGCTGGCCTGGCAGGGCTGGTCCTGGGGTCCTTGGCCTGTGACCCTGGAGCCAGAGTGGCCTCTATTGTCTTTGTCTTGGGGAAAGCAGAGGTGAGGAGCTTAGGTTGCAGCAAGAGAGATTTAGGTTAGATAGTGAGACTACCTTCTTGATGTCAGGGCTTCACATCAAGGGAAAAGGCTGTTGGCGACAGATTCGGGTTGAAGTCTGGAGACCAGGATGGGAGTGGCAGAGAGGGGGACCTTTAGGGAGGCCTGAGTCCCAGGCGCTGCCTAAGGGGTTGCTCTGTTTGGAGGGCCTCCTACTCCCCGGAAAAGAGGTACTGGCACCTCCCCAGGGGGGCCTGGCGGGGACACACCAACCGAGGCCTTGGGGCAGAAGAGCCCAAGGCCAGACCCAGTGCTGCGGTCGCGTCCCCAGCGGCCTGTGAGGGCTTGTAGGGCAAGGCGGCTGCCAGCTGGGAAGAGGGCAGAGGGGCGCGCGGCCAGGCCCGGCCCGACGCCCCGCCGCCTGCCGCCGCCCGCAGGCCTGACGGAGGACGAGGACGTGCGCGCCATGCTGCGGGGCTCCCGGCTCCGCAAGATCCGCTCGCGGACGTGGCAGAAGGAGCGGCTGTACCGGCTGCAGGAGGACGGCCTGAGCGTGTGGTTCCAGCGGCGCGTCCCGCGCGCGCCGTCGCAGCACATCTGTGAGCGGGGGGGGGACAGCGGCCGTGGCGGGGGGGGGGCAGCGACCCGGTCCCTCGGCCCTGACCCGGCCGCGCCTGCCCCCCCCCGCCCCAGTCTTCGTGCAGCACATTGAGGCGGTCCGCGAGGGCCACCAGTCCGAGGGGCTGCGGCGCTTCGGGGGCGCCTTCCCGCCGGCGCGCTGCCTCACCATCGCCTTCCGGGGCCGCCGCAAGAACCTGGACCTGGCGGCCGCCACGGCCGAGGAGGCGCAGCGCTGGGTGCGCGGTCTGGCCAAGCTGCGCGCGCGCCTCGACGCCATGAGCCAGCGCGAGCGCCTCGACCAATATCCTGGCGGGGCGCCGGGGTGGGGGGGCCGTGCTGGGGGGCCCGCGGGCCGAGCCAGAGCCCCTGGTCTTCAGGGCGGAGGGGGGCGCCGCGGCCTGGGGTGTCTGGGGACCCCGGCCCTGGAGGCCGCGGGCGGGGGGAGGTACAGCCCCGAGGTCGGGCGTCCCCGCAGGCACCTGGGGGGGGGGGCTGCCCAGCCTGTCGCGGGTATTTCCTGAGCGCCCACACCTGGATCCACGCCTACCTGCACCGGGCAGACTCGGACCAGGACAGCAAGATGAGCTTCAAGGAGATCAAGAGCCTGCTCAGAATGGTCAACGTGGACATGAATGACATGTACGCCTACCGCCTCTTCAAGGTGGGCTCCCACCCCCACTCTGACCCCAGTCACCCCATCCGTCCTCACCGCCAGCCTTGGTGGGTGGAGCGGCCTCCGCCTGCGGTCGGCCTCATCTGGGCCTGGGTAGCCTTTTACACTCCCCGGAGGGCGCTGGGCCAGGATGGGAGTGCGCCCCAGAGCATCGGTCCTCACCCTCAGGCAGGGCCAGGGAGCCTGCTCACCTGGGCCGGCACCTCCACCCGGACTGCTCTGCGTGTTCGATTATTTGTTACTCATTGACCCCTGGTGTGAATTTGGGGATGCAAGAACCCTATGTGGGAGGAGGAATTATGGCTCGTCCTGCCTCTGGGTCACTGTTTTTCCTCCCACATCTTGATTTTTGGGGGTAGGTAGGTCATAGTACAGAGAGACAGGCGCTGAATCCAAGAGACCTCCCCTAGAATCCCCGCCCGCAGTTTACCAGCTGTGTGAGCTTGAGCGACACCCAGAGCCTCGCTAGCTCCCAGTTTTTCTACCTGTGCAAGACACCTGCCTGCCCAGCGTGGTAGATGACAGGTGTGTCCGTACAGGTGCGGGACACCTGCCTGCCCAGCGTGGTAGATGACAGGTGTGTCCGTACAGGTGCGGGACACCTGCCTGCCAAGCGTGGTAGATGACAGGTGTGTCCGTACAGGTGCGGGACACCTGCCTGCCAAGCGTGGTAGATGACAGGTGTGTCCGTACAGGTGCGGGACACCTGCCTGCCCAGCGTGGTAGATGACAGGTGTGTCCGTACAGGTGCGGGACACCTGCCTGCCCAGCGTGGTAGATGACAGGTGTGTCGGTACAGGCCGGCTTTCTCCTTCCCTGAACTTCTCCCTGTGCCTTCCAGGAGTGTGACCACTCCAACAATGAGCGGCTGGAGGGTGCTGAGATTGAGGAGTTTCTGCGGCGGTTGCTGAAACGCCCCGAGCTGGAGGAGATCTTCCATCGGTACTCGGGTGAGGACCGCGTGCTGAGCGCCCCGGAGCTGCTGGAGTTCCTGGAGGACCAGGGCGAGGACGGCGCCACGCTGGCCCACGCCCAGCAGCTCATCCACACCTATGAGCTCAACGAGACAGGTGGGGGTCTCACAGATGGGGCTGGGCTCGACACTACCCTGTCTGGGCATCTGACAGATCTGGGTTTTCAGCTAAGTGGGCTCTTCAATTTCTGGCTGTGGGTGCCATCTTGGGTGGGTTACCTTGCCTCTGGGAGACTCACCTGCCACATCTGGAACGTGGCATAACATATAGTATCTTCCTCACAGGGTTTGGCTGAAGATTAAATGGGCATGACTTATGGGGGTGCCCAGCTGGCTCAGTTGGTTAAAGCATGCAACTCCTGATCTTGGGGTCATGAGTTCGAACCCCAAGTTTGGTGTAGAGATCACTTTAAAAAAATAAATGGGGGAATCCCTGGGTGGCTCAGTGGTTTAGCACCTGCCTTCAGCCCAGGGAGTGATCCTGTGGTCCCAGAATCGAGTCCCACATCAGGCTCCCTGCAGGGAGCCTGCCTCTCCCTCTGCCTGTGTCTCTGCCTCTCTCTCTCTCTCTCCCCATGTCTCTCATGAATAAATAAATAAAATCTTAAAAAAAAAATAAATGGTGGGTGCCTGGGTGGCTCACCCAGTTGGTTAAACATCTGCCTTTGGCTCAGGTCATGATCCCAGAGTCCTGGGATTAAGTCCCACATCAGGCTTCCTGCTCAGCAGGGAGTTGGCTTCTCCCTCTGCCCCTCCCCCCTGCTTCTCTCTCTCTCTCTCCCTCAAATAAATAATTTTTTTAAGGATTTTATTTATTTATTCATGAGAGAGAGAGAGAGAGAGGCAGAGGGAGAAGCAGGACCCATGCAGGGAGCCCGATGTGGGACTTGATCCCGGGACCCCAGGACCACACCCTGGGCTGAAGGCAGGGGCCAAACTGCTGAGCCACCCAGGGATCCCCCTCAAATAAATAATTTTTATTTTTTTATTTTTATTTTTTTTAATTTTTTTTTTATTTATTTATGATAGGCACACAGTGAGAGAGAGAGAGAGGCAGAGACATAGGCAGAGGGAGAAGCAGGCTCCATGCACCGGGAGCCCGATGTGGGACTCGATCCCGGGTCTCAGGATCGCGCCCTGGGCCAAAGGCAGGCGCTAAACCGCTGCGCCACCCAGGGAACCCTCAAATAAATAATTTTTAAAAAGATTTTCTTTATTTATTCATGAGAGAGACAGAGAGAGAGGCAGAGACACAGGCAGAGGGAGAAGCAGGCTCCACGCAGGGAGCCCGACGTGGGACTCGATTCTGGGATCCCGGGATCACACCCTGAGCCAAAGGCAGATGCTCAACCACTGAGCCACCCAGCTGTCCCAAATAAATAAGCTTTTTTTTTTAAGATTTTATTTATTTATGAGAGAGAGAGAGAGAGAGAGAGAGAGGCAGAGACACAGGCAGAGACACAGGCAGAGGGAGAAGCAGGCTCCATGCAGGGAGCCCGATGTGGGACTGGATCCGGGGTCTCCAGGATCACACCCTGGGCTGCGCTAAACCACTGAGCCATCCGGGCTGCCCAATTAATAAGCTTTTAAAAGAATCTTTAAAAAAATAAATGGGGGCAGCCCCAGTGGCGCAGCGGTTTAGTGCCACCTGCAGCCTAGGGCATGATCCTGGAGACCCGGGATCGAGTCCCACATCGGGCTCCCTGCGTGGAGCCTGCTTCTCCCTCTGCCTGTGTCTCTGCCTCTCTCTCTATGAATAAATAAATAAAAAATCTTAAAAAAAATAAATGGTATAACTTATGTAGAATCTAGTCAGTAGGTAGGTGCTCTTTATTACTAGCTGAGTGAAGTTTGTTTTGAGGGCCTGTGGGGCCAGACGTGAGGATCCTCCCTGTGGCCTGATGATTTCTTTTGCTCATCCTTGCAGCCAAGCAGCATGAGCTGATGACACTGGATGGCTTCATGATGTACCTGTTGTCACCTGAAGGGGCTGCCCTGAACCCAGCCCACACATCCGTGTTCCAGGACATGGACCAGCCCCTCTCCCACTACTTCATCTCCTCCTCACACAACACCTATCTGACTGACTCTCAGATCGGGGGGCCCAGTAGCACCGAAGCCTATGTTAGGTACTGCAGCGGGGGATGGTAGGGGCGAGCACACCTGGGAACCCAGCTTGGGGAGCTATAGAGCTCAAATCTCACTGTGGGCTTCCTGAGGGGGGAAGGAAAGAGGAGGTGTGGCTACCTGGCTCACCCTGTCCCTTGCTGTGCTCTGTGGCTCCCACATGATGGACATCTTGCCTGCCCATCTGTCTCTGCAGGGCCTTTGCCCAGGGATGCCGCTGTGTGGAGCTGGACTGCTGGGAGGGCCCAGGAGGGGAGCCCATCATCTATCACGGCCACACCCTCACCTCCAAGATCCTCTTCCGAGACGTGGTCCAGGCTGTGCGTGACCATGCCTTCACTGTGAGCTGCTAGGACCCCCTGCCCAGAATATCACTCACCAAGTGCTGCTGGGGCAACTGGCCAATGGGGTAGAAGAAAGCTGAGGGAGAGGCCCTCTTCCTCCATCCTCATGTTTAGTAACTACATTATTTTTTTTAATCTTTTTTTTTAAATTTTTATTTATTTATGATAGTCACACACAGAGAGAGAGAGGCAGAGACACAGGCAGAGGGAGAAGGAGGCTCCATGCACCGGAAGCCCGACGTGGGATTCGATCCCGGGTCTCCAGGATCGTGCCCCGGGCCAAAGGCAGGCGCCAAACTGCTGCGCCACCCGGGGATCCCTAGTAACTACATTAAAATCACAAAATGTCCAGGAGAAAACCTTAAGAGTAGGGAAGGACATTTTTTTTTTTTTTTTTTTTTAAATAGAGGAGTGGATGATCCAAGCTCTATTTTTTTTTATTTTTATTTATTTATGATAGTCACAGAGAGAGAGAGAGGCAGAGACACAGGCAGAGGGAGAAGCAGGCTCCATGCACCGGAAGCCCGATGTGGGATTCGATCCTGGGTCTCCAGGATCACGCCCTGGGCCAAAGGCAGGCGCCAAACCACTGCGCCACCCAGGGATCCCAGGGAAGGACATTTTAATCATGACTCCCAAAGAGGAAGCCATGAAAGAGAAGTTCAGCATGGAGTCTGCATAAAATTGCAACTTCTGTCAAGCTATACGTAAATCTTATCCTCAAAAAATGATGGGCATGGGGGCGCCAGGCTAGCTTAGTCAGAAGAGCGTGCTACTTTTGATCTTGGGGTCATGAGTTCGAGCCCCATATTGGGTGTAGAGGTTACTTAAGAAAATCAACTGAGGGAACCCTGGGTGGCGCTGCGGATTGGCGCCTGCCTTTGGCCCGGGGCGCGATCCTGGAGACCCGGGATCGAATCCCACATCGGGCTCCTGGTGCATGGAGCCTGCTTCTCCCTCTGCCTGTGTCTCTGCCTTGCCTCTCTCTATCTCTGTGTGTGACTATCATAAATAAATAAATAAATAATTTAAAAAAAAAAAAAAAAAAAAAAAAGAAAATCAACTGAAAAAAGTATGGGCTTGGGGAGAAAAGTGGGTGACATAAACAGCACTGGCCAATGTCATTAGGCTATGAAGGGCATTTATTAAAAACAAAACCATTCCTGCAGCTGTCCTCAGCTTCCCAGACATTCCACCTTTACCAGACCCCAGATCTGACCTGTGTTCCCCTACAGACACACCTGCCCCAGAGTATATCCCACCTACTTAGCTCCCCAGAGTGCCTTTGCCTGCCTGTCCTGAAGAGGGTTGGGGGCCAGGTACAGTAGGGGTCCTCGTAGGGGGAGAGGGAAGTGGTTCTGAGCTGTTGCCCTTCCCCCCCAGTTGTCCCCATACCCTGTCATCCTGTCCCTCGAGAACCACTGTGGGCTGGAGCAACAGGCTGTCATGGCCCGCCACCTTCGAACCATCCTGGGAGACACGCTGGTGACACAAGCGCTGGATGCCCAGAACCCTGAGGAGTTGCCATCCCCAGAGGTAATGAACGCCCCAGACTCAGCCTGGTGGGGGGAGGATCTGGCTGCAGTCTACCATCCACCCCTGCTATGCCACCTCCATGTCAGGACCCCTTCCCTCTCTCTGCCTCAGTCTCCCCCTGCTCCAGCGTTCATTTGACATCAGCCCCCCCCCCCCCAGGGTCTTGTCTCTTTCCTACCCACCAGACTTGACTAGACCCATCCCACCCTATTCTGGGCCTTCCGTGCCCTCACTCTCACCTCCCTGCTCTGCCTCCCTGCGTACAGAGTCCCTGCAAACTCAGACATTCCCACCTCCAAGGTTGGGACATTCTTCTCTACCTGAAGCTCCCTTCCCAGCCATCTTAGACCTCTAGCTCAGTGTAAACCACCTCTTCCTGTAGCCTTAGAAGCTTCCTCAGCAATCTGGCCTGGGGTGATTTTTCCTCCTAAACCCCAGAATGTTTTATCTGCCTCCTCAGGACGGTTGTGTTTTTCTGGTTCCTTGAGAAAACTCTCCTACTCTCAATCCAAATATGCAGAGAATGTTGACTCACCTGTGTGTGTGTGTGTGTGTGTGTGTGTGTGATTTCTTTCTTTTTTTTTTTTTAATATTCAAGAAAAAAACGATTAAAAAAAATTGAGCTGGGGGCACCTGGGTTACTCAGTGGTTGAGCGTCTGCCTTTGGCTCAGGGCGTGATCCCAGGGTCCTGGGATGGAGTTCTGCATCGGGCTTCCCATGGGGAGTCTGCTTCTCCCTCTGGGGATCACAACCTGGGCCAAAGGCAGACGTTCAACCACTGAGCCACCCAGGTATCCATTTTTTTCTATTAGAAACATCACGCGAGGGGATCCCTGGGTGGCGCAGCGGTTTGGCGCCTGCCTTTGGCCCGGGGCGCGATCCTGGAGACCCAGGATCGAATCCCACGTCGGGTTCCCGGTGCATGGAGCCTGCTTCTCCCTCTGCCTGTGTCTCTGCCTCTCTCTCTTTCTCTCTCTGTGACTATCATAAATAATAAATAAAAGTTTAAAAAAATTAAAAAAAAAAAAGAAACATCACGCGGGATCCCTGGGTGGCGCAGCGGTTTGGCGCCTGCCTTTGGCCCAGGGCGCGATCCTGGAGACCCGGGATCGAATCCCACGTCGGGCTCCCGGTGCATGGAGCCTGCTTCTCCCTCTGCCTGTGTCTCTGCCTCTCTCTCTCTCTCTCTCTGTGACTATCATAAATAAATAAAAATTAAAAAAAAAAAAGAAACATCACGCATCTTTGTGTGTCCTTCCCGGCTCCCCCCAGTCAGCCCCTCACGTCTGGTGGTTGTACGACTAACCCAGGGGCAGGAGGGCATAATCTTTCCCTGTTTGTGGGCCCCGACAGCAGCTGAAGGGCCGGGTTCTGGTGAAGGGCAAGAAGCTGCCGGCTGCTCGGAGCGAGGATGGTCGAATTCTATCCGACCAGGAGGAGGAAGAGGAAGAGGAGGAAGAGGAGCCAGAGGCCACAGAACAGAGGCGGCGGGTGAGTGGGACCCTTGGGCCGGGAGGAGCTAGGTGGAGCAGGGCTGGAGCCAGTGACCCTCGCTGCGGCTCATCTCCCAGGCCAAGCAGATCTCCCCTGAGCTGTCGGCCCTGGCCGTGTACTGCTGTGCCACCCGCCTGCGGACCCTGCGCCCCACCCCGGTCCCGCCCCAGCCCTGCCAGGTCAGCTCCCTCAACGAGCGCAAGGCCAAGAAGCTCATCCGAGAGGCAGGTAGGAGTGGGGACATGGGGGGCAGGAGGCACCCTGGATGCCTGGTGGGGCGGTAACCTGAAGTTGGTCTGGAAAAGAGACTGACAGGACTTTGGGGCCAGTGAAGGGGTCAGGAGGCCCCCAGATTGGGGCTCAGGGAGTGAGCGCCCAGTGCGTGCCTAGCACCGGGCTGGCATGGATGGAGGGAAGAGGGCCCTGGGAGGAGGGGGGCTGCTGCCTGCCTTTGCTGGACTCAAGCCTAGTGGCAGGGCCAGGTGTAGACGGGAGTGATGGTGCAGGGTGATCAGTGGGCCATTGGGGGGTCCAGGGGAGCCCCCGCAGAGGCGGTGAGATCAGGGAAGGATTCTGGAGAGGTGATGCCTGTAAAGACCCCAGAGCAAAGCATAGGGTGGAAGCAGCCAGGTGAAGAAGGGGAAGGGGTTTCCAGGCTGGAGGAACAGGTTGGATGAAGGCCTGGAGGCATGACATGCAGGAAGAGTCCTGGGAACCCGCAACACAGTTGGAGGAGTGCATGTGGGATGAGCGCTGGATGTCTGCCTGGGGCCCCTGTTCCAGGCCTGGAGGTAGGGGGGATATGCAGTGCTGGGGTGTGGAAGGGGGTTCTTGACCCTCTCTGGGCTTCCAGAGCCTTCTCCAGAAGGTCCTCTCAGCCCTGGGGCAGAGGGAGTTCAGCCTCTGTTCCCAGCTTGTTCCTGGAGTTGGGGTAGAGGAAGTTACAGGCCGGATAAAGGACACCCCCGGGGCCCCAACTCTCCCCCAGGGAACAGCTTTGTCAGGCACAATGCCCGCCAGCTGACCCGAGTCTACCCCCTGGGGCTTCGGATGAACTCGGCCAACTACAGCCCCCAGGAGATGTGGAACTCCGGCTGTCAGCTAGGTGAGTGGGGGCAGGAGCATAGAGCAGGCAGGGTGCTGCCGCGTGGGGGCGGCCTCCAGGGACCCATGGGAGACCCCGGGCAGTGATGGGGCCGTATAGTTATCTGGAAGGTGGAGAAATGTGTTTTCTTGGTAATAGCACTTATTAAAATAGTTGGGAAAATAGGTGGGAAAACAAATCAGACTCATTTCTTCCTGACAGTGTGAAAGTCTCCCATTTTTTTTTTTAAAGATTTTTTTTATTCATGAGAGACACATAGAGGCAAAGATACAGGCAGAGGGAGAAGCAGGCTCCCTGTGGGGAGCCTGATGTGGGACTCGATCCCAGGACCCTGGGATCACGCCTTGAGCCAAAGGTAGACGCTCAACCACCCAGGCGCCCCAGTGTCCCATTTTTTTATAAAGGCGAAAGCTCAAAACCTCTACTCCCATGAGTCCTCTGACACACACAGACATGCACACACCCCACTCCCTAATGCCCCCTGACACACAGAGGTGTGCACACACACCCCCCGCCGGGAGTCCCACTGAATCAACACTGACAAAAGTGGGCTCTGGAGGGACGCTGAGCCCCAACAAAGGAGCAAAGGTAGGGGGGAATATGGTCCCTTTGAGGGCAGATATGGAAACCCCAGCCTTCCTTGGGCCCAACTCTGGCCCAGACCTATTCCCTGCCCCACCCTCTGGCCTCGAGGGATACCAGGGATAAAGTGGTGATAGTGGGGGCTGGGTCCCTTGGCTGCCATGATGCCCGCCCCCCAAGCCCTGGTGGGGGTGGGCAGTGAGACCTGAAACTGAGCAGCAAGAGGAGGGCTGCTAAGAGCCCCTGCTCTGACCCTGCTATGTCCACAGTGGCTTTGAACTTCCAGACACCTGGCTACGAGATGGACCTCAATGCCGGGCGCTTTCTTGTCAACGGGCAATGTGGCTACATCCTGAAACCCGCCTGCCTACGGCAGCCAGACACCACTTTTGACCCCGAGTGTCCCGGACCTCCCAGAACTACTCTCACCATCCAGGTCAGCAGCCTGGACCAGCCCTACCCTGGGGTCACCCTGGGGTCCCAGCTAGTCCCAGCGAGGTCCTCCCTGGCAGGGCACCAGACAGCAGTGGCCTGGGGGCGGCCTGGGGTGTGGGGGAGGGCTGGCGGCTTCCTGCCTGAGCAGAGGGGCCAGACTGCAGCTCCCCTTCCTTGTCCCCCACAGGTGCTGACTGCACAGCAGCTGCCCAAGCTGAACACTGAGAAGCCAAACTCCATCGTGGATCCCCTGGTACGCGTTGAGATCCACGGGGTGCCTGCAGACTGTGCTCGAAAGGAGACCAACTATGTGCTCAACAATGGTGAGTGGATGTGCTGGTGGCAGTGGGGGTGCTTGGGGCCAGCAGGCTCCTGACTGCCCTGCCTGCACCCTAGGCTTCAACCCGCGCTGGGGGCAGACCCTGCAGTTCCAGCTGCGGGCTCCTGAGCTGGTGCTGGTCCGCTTCGTGGTGGAAGATTACGATACCACCTCCCCCAACGACTTCGTGGGCCAGTTTACGCTGCCCCTCAATAGCCTGAAGCAAGGTGGGTGGGGATGGAAAGGGAGGGGGTCTGGGCCGCCAAGACCCTGTTCACCTGGGCCCTGGATGTCCTCTGAGAGCTTGCCCCGAGCCCCGAGGTGGGAGGTGGTCTGTGCCCCCACGGCCCTGGCCCTGAAGGGTTGGGAGTTGGGGTGGGCAGAGAACTGGACACGTGGCTCCCCTCCCCACAGGGTACCGCCACATCCACCTGCTTTCCAAGGACGGCGCCTCACTGTCACCAGCCACGCTCTTCGTCCACATCCGCATCCAGCGCTTCTGAGGGTGGGACGACCCACGCTGGGGCTCCTTGGGTGCCAGCCTGCCTCCTGTGGCAGAGGCTCTGTTCTCCTCAGGAGTGGGGGGTGCAGGGAGGACTAGCTCCTCCAGCCTGCTCGCTTTGCCCACTCCACTCTCTGGCCCCAGTGGAGCGCTAGGGGCTGCCTTGGTCCCTCTTGAACGGGCCGCCGCTTTGCCCTGTGACCCCAGAGCCTGGAGACGGCCCCAGCTCCTCGGATTCTTGGCTGGCTCCCTCCTCCCGGCTCATGAAGAGCCAGGCCTGTGGCTGCCAGAGTTGGGGAGGAAACCTGAGCCTTTAGCTCTTCTCTGCCCCCCTGGGGGGCATCCCAGCCGCCATCCCCAGAGTAGTTCAGCCCCTTCCTTGCCCCCTCCCCCACCCCAGGTATTATTAGCCACCCCCCAGGGCCCTCCCCTTGCCAGGCTTTCCTGGGCTCCCCACTGGAGCTCGACTTTGGGCTGCCTTTCCCAGGAAGCCTACGAGTAGGTTTTCACTTGTGTCATAGAAGGGACCTGAAGAGGACAGGAGATTATCGATTTTAAAAAATAAAGAAACAAGTTTACTACTGCTGTACGCTGAGCACCTGAGGTCATACCCATAGGACCCTGAGGAGGGATGTGGGCAGAATCCCTTGGGCCCCCTCCCCCAGCAGGGCTTGGATTTAAGCCAGCCAGGGAGATGGTACAGGTGGGAGGGCAACAGGAGAGGAGGCCCCAGCTCAAAATAGCCTGACCCCTCCTCTTGGCTCCGAGCTGCTTCCAGCATCACAAGACTGTGGGGACACCAACTCATAGGCTCCCCCTGCCCCCATCTCCACCATGAAGGGCCTTGAATGGGGAGCTGGCCGGTGGGGGGGGGGGGGCTTTTGCCAGGGAAGAACTGTTATGGCCCTAAGGGGATGGGACAGACTGAGGGAGCTGACAGGCCCATGCTTTCTGGGTTCAGCTGCATTTGAGGCCCCTGTCCGTTCAGTAAATGAATCCCAGAGACTTGGGGCTCTCCTCCCACCAAGCAACCAGCCTTTTAGATGATGGCCTGGAAACCATCCCGCTACTCGGGGCTGCCTGGAGTGGCTGGGAGAATGTGCCGAGACACCAGATGGCAGGATCCAGAGAAAACCTGCCAGAAAGGGGACTATTTACCTATCTAATCTATTTAATCTATCTTATCTATTTATAATTGGAGTTCAATTTGCCAACATATAGCTTATCAGCCAGTGCTCATCCTGTCAAGTGCCCCCCTCAGTGCCCATCACCCAGTCACCCCAACCCCCCCACCTCCCTTTCCACTACCCCTTGTTCGTTTGAAAGGGGACTTTTTAGGCTTCAATGTGGCGCCCTGACATTTTGGGTTCCATCAGGCAAAAGCACCAACACTGAACCAGGACAGAGTTTGAAGACTCTTGGCTTGGGGATGGCGCTGGGCTGGGGCTTGAATGTGTCCCAAGGAACCCGTCCCAAGGAACCCCGGGGCTGGGCAATCTCACCTTCCTGCAACCTAACACCCGATGCAAGAAGTGAGATCCTCCCCCTGCTCTCTGTTCATGCTGAGAGTGGACTTTGGTTCTGATGAATTCAAGTGTCTGAAAGGGGATGCTTACACTCTGAATGGGCTCAGAAGCCTCTCCACGCAGGAACCACAAAGGAATGGACCAGGCAGCCCGGACACCTGGCAGCCAAACCGCAGGCCCGAGGAGGGAGCACAGCAAAGCTGAGTCCATTTACGATGTACATGGAGCAGTTAGGGAGTTGCCCTGTTTTCCGAGGGCCAGCTCTGGTCAGGGCCTGCACTGAGGGTCCCACGTCAGGTGAGCACTAGACTCTGGGCTCAGCCCCCGCTCCTGCTTCTCTTCTTTGGTTTGGTAAAGCCCAAGGAAGTGTTTCATGCTAGAGTGAGAGCTCCAAAGCAGGGAAGTCAGCCTTGAAAGGGCAAGTCTTCAGTGTAGGAAAATTGATGGGAATGGATTATGGGAAGTGGAAGCAAAGAAGTCAGTTGTTACTCCGGAGGTCCCTGGATGGCCACCCACAGGGCTGTTCTCAGCCCATGTCTAAGGGGAGAACAAAGGCCTGAGCCCTCAGGGGCTAGAGTGACCTGCTGTGGGTGTGTGTGGGAGACACAGGGATGGGTTTAGGAGGGGTCTCGAGTGCTCTGGGAGGCGCCTCACAGATGACCCTGGGGTAGGTCTTGTGTCCTCTCAGGTGCAGCCCAGGTCCCCTGCCAAGGGGCTCAGAGGCACCAGCCAGAGGGAAAGAATGGGGGTGGGGTAAATTTGGGAGTCTAAATTTGGTTAACTGGGGCCCTTCCTTGGAAAACTGGTTCAGTAGGTGTGTAGCGGGACCTGGTGACCAGCAGTGTTAAAAAGCACCCCCGGTGGCTCCGCAGAATCACCTGGCCGCTGGCCGCTGGAGATGTGGCACCTGGACAAGCAGGATAGGGCAGTGCCTGGGCACCCCCCAAACCCCCACAGGAGCCACTGCTGCTCCGGGCTGAGGGGGTGCTTTGCTCCCAGCAGCGGAAGCTGGGGACTGGCTCCTCTGCCAAGGTGCTCTGATGTTGGCCCAGGGCCCAACTGCTCCTCTTACGTGGAGCAAACCTGGGTCAGTACTGACTCCTAGCTGGCAGATGGGAGAAGTCAGGGGACAAGAGCCAATTCTGCCCTGAACGGAGAACCTTACCAAAGTAAAGTAGCTGCCTCTGTGGAACAGTCAGGAGTGGCTTTCCTTGTGGGGCTCCACTGCCACCCGAGAGGGCGCTCCAGCCTAGGCCAGCGGCTCCCATCTGTTCCACTGCCACCTGCGGACCCCAGGAATGCAAGGGCAGAGAGGTTTGGTTCAGCTGCTTCCTTTATTAGAAACAAGTGAGATGTAACCAGTGGAACTACAATGCATTTGGTACTTCCTCCCCCACCCTGGAAATGGATGCCCCTCCCACAGCCCAGAGAAAAGCTCAGACAAAAAGTGAAGCTTCCCCCTCCTGTTCCCAGGTTCGGCACACCTTGCCTGCAGTCAGTATCTCTGAATTTAACTGAATGATAATGTCCCACACAACCTCCTAGGAGACAGACAGCCTGTTGGCGGGCCTGCCTTCACTTTGCTGTAGGGCAAAACCAAAGATGATTTGCGTCTCCTCTGGTTCCGGAGCAGGTGGGTCAGGCCACAAGAAGGCCGCCCCCTGGGGGGGTGGGCACTGGCCAGGGATATGCTCATGCATATGCTCCCCTGGCCTGACAACCAGGTCCTCATCCATTCCCAGATTGCAGCTTCGTGAAGCTACAGGCCTTTGGGCCATCCCTTCAGTTGGTTAAATGCTGGTCATCTTTAGGCAAAGAATTCAGATCGCAGGGACCCCCATGCCTGGGCTTCAGTGAGCCAGCGAGTCAGGGGGTCAATGGCAGTTAGGTGAGAGTTGCAGGCAAGGCCTGAATTTCCCATAAACTGGGTGTTGAGGTGGCTTGGTGTGGGCCAGCCTTCAAACTGGATGTGTCTTTGAAAGCAGGCATGGTGGGGGCAGGGGGACGAGCCCTATATACGCCTCCACCCAGAGCCAAGGCCTCCTTTCTACCCAGCTCTCTCCCTAAACAGAGATCAGAGGCCATAAGACTGCCCAGGTGTCAAATGTAGTCAATCCAAAGGCAGAGGTAAACATCTGGAAACATGGGAGTCCAAAAAGCCCAGTGGTGCGAACAGGGAGTACTGGTGGCAGAGAGTGAGGGCCACGCCCAGGAGGCCCTCAAACAATGGCTGCCTAAGGCAGGTCCCAGGTGAAGAGCTTGGAGGCCCCAGGGTCCTTCCCTTGTTTGATTCACGCTGGCTGGGGCTCCACCATCCTGCAGGGCTCCTTATGAGGAGGCCTTGGACCCCAAGCAATGGTTCTCTCTGAGCTTTCTGACCTGAAGTCCTGGAAGGGGTGGAGTGAAGAACTCGGGAACTGTTTGGACAAAAAGATGAAGAGCAGGGACCAAGCTGACTCCTGCAGCCCGGGGAGGCGGTGCTCAGGGCTAGGGCTGGGCAGGGTCCCTACCATGACACAACAGCAGAGTCCAAGAAGCAGGCCACGCGGTCTTGGAGGGAGATACGGGGGGCCTTTCCAGGAGACCGGTTTCTTCCAGAGCAGCCGTGGACTTCTGGTTTCCATCCTGTGGCCTGGGTCAGCTGAGGCAAAGCTCACTCCAGAGGCTGCTATGCACGCCTAACCTCAGCAGCAGCTTGCCCTGGGACCTGGCCCAGAGCTGACCAAGCCTAGCACAGGAAGCCTTTCCAAGTTCCAGGTCCTGCCCCAGGTAGGAAAGAGTCGGGCACTTTGTTTTCTGATATCCTCAGATGCATGCACAGGGTAAGCTGCTCTGGGACTCGGGGTGTTGGCTGGCTGCTGTCTGTGAGGCTGTAAAGGCAAGCCCCTGCCTCTCCGACTCCTCCTGTCTGTGGAATGCAGTGCACATCTTGCTAAGAACAGCAGCTTCTTTGGTCTGGGTATCTTGGAGTCAAGGAGTCACAGGTCAGCCATGCAGTTTGCAGCACGGGAACAACGGGGAGAAGGGAGGCCCCTAGAGGCCGCTGATGAGAATGCAGTACAGTGGAGCGCAGGCTGGGCCCAGCAAGCCATCTCCAGAGCGGGTGGCGCAGGTGGCACAGCCCCCAGCCCCAGCACACGATTTCCTCCAGCTCTGGGGACTCTGCACAATTAGCCTTCTGGCAAACCCAAAGCCTGAAACTCAGCTCTGTTAGCCTGCAGAGCATGGCTTCAGTTTATGAGAGTCGGCTAAAACTTCCTCCCCACCAGAAGTGGCCGAGAGGTGAAAGCAGCCAGGTCTCGCTCACGCACATGCCCTGCTCTCCTGTCTACCTTCTCCCAATGCAAAGTTATACACAAGCCTGGATGTGGGTTTCTGACAATTCCACAGCTCAATGCTCCCCAAGGGACTTGGCTGAGCACAGCTGAGGAATGCCTACGTGGACAGCCACGTGACCTGAGGCTCCATCGCTTTTGGAGAAACTGGCAGCATCAATAACCGTCACCGTCACCACCACCACCACAAAGATCCACAAGACATCACCAGCGAAAATCAGATTCAGACAATGGCGACACGAGATCATTTCTGCTGTCAAATCCAGATCGGCGTCTGGACACCGCTCCTTGCTACTACTTGCAAGTTATGCATCTTGGAAAGGAGCACAAGTGATGGCTAAAGGATTGTGAAGGCACAGGCCAGGGGCTGGTGGCTAAAGGGGTCTGGGTATTGTCCCCATGCCAACCTTGGCCAGCCACCCTAGGGCTATCAGGGTGCTGGCTCTTTGCTCTATGATGAGCTAAGCAGGGATTGCACTGGTATGGTCTCCACAAGGTCCCAGATGCTACAAGGAGGTCAGAGGTCCCCTTCAAACTGCCAGTCACCCCAGGCAGTGAAAAACAATGTCCCATGCGACTCATCCCTATAAGGTTGGCAACAGCTAGCTAAAGAGCCCTTTAAAATCAGTTGGCAGGACGACTTCCCACAGAGCAGGGCAAGGATGGAAGAAGGGACCCCATAAATGAAATCTGCTTCCACAGATGGTCCCCACTGCC